AGGATTGACCGTCACATTATAACGCCCCCACGGCTGAAAGGGTGAGCATGTTTGGTGGACGGGGATTCGAACCAGCGACCTTCAGATTTCGAGTCGAGTGCCGTAACCACCTGGCCATGCCGGGCCTTTATTGGTTTGTTACTGATAAATTACCGATATATCAACCTGCTCTACCAATCATAGCATCTAACTAAATACACAAATAATTTATGAGCTAAGTTACAGCTGGTGTAACTGGCAAGTCAATCTGTTAAGCTTGACTACAGTCTTTCTTGGGAAGCTGTGTAATGTTATGACGTTCAATTTCAGACAGAAATCAATCTTCTGCTGGCAAACTAAAGTTACTACCCATAGTTATTACTAATGACTGTTTAAAGACGTGTAAGTTTAATTAGACGAATGTGTTGTTAAGTAAAAACATTGACTTGTATGAATTCATTCAGTGTAAAACAGTGATTGTTTTTATGATTGGTGTTATTAAAAAAGCATTTAATACCACCTGTACAAATCATTACATTATCTGCATTGTTAAAAGATCTATTACTTGGCCCGGCATGGCCAGGTGGTGATGACTAGCTGCCTTTCCTCTAGTCTTACACTGCTAAATTAGGGACGGCCTCGTGTAGCTTTGCACGAAATTCAAAACAAACAATCTATTACTTGTAGACTTAAGTTTTTCATTGCTGTCATTTAAGGGTAAGCTGGTATACATATTGCTGAAATCAAATGATTCCGTAGATTTAGGTGTGAAATATATCTTTTGTTCAAATTGCGCATAATTTTTGATAATTATATGTGAATTAATACCAGTGCTTTATTTTATAATGCTACAATATTTCTTCAAATGTGCTGTGATGTACTTAAGACATGTAATTGGGAATAACATTGTTATTAATGTTTGTATCAACTCCAAATTGTTTTAAAATTTTGTTATGTTGTTTGACAATGTTATTTGCATCGGTTTCAATAAAAGTATAAACAGAATTACTTGAAAGTACTCCACTATTGCAGTCAACAGTCTCCAACAAAAACTCACAATTCTGTTTTGGAAAAATCACTGTAATTTTCACTAAAGCACAATTTAGGGACACAGGAATGTTCGTTCTTACTCCTCGGTCCATTTAAAATATGAATAAACTGTAATGAGAATAGATAATGGTGTGGTGATCTTGGAGTTGTCCAAAAAAGATGTCATTAATTTAACATTAAACCAAGAAAATTGCCAACCTCTCATTTGACAAACATTTAGACCTGTTCTTTACTCTTACAATTTTCTCAAACACAGTAGACACACATGTTTTCCTATAATATGAACAAGAAATTCCACCTGCTTGCATTTGAGTTTACACTTCCCTGGTTTAAACCTGCCGTTCTTATCTGCTGAAGTACTACTCTTACATTTTTCGGAGTGAACTCGAACATGCAGCCAACCAATAAGGCATTATCAACTTACATAAGACATCTTTCCCATCACAATCCCTTCATTGTAGCTCATTAAGCTTCTCAAAAGTGACGGTCATATTACACAGGCCAAATGGCATGATGCAAAACTCGTACAAACGATCTCGCTTACTGAAAGTAGTTTTAGTTCTACTCTTTTTATCCGGATTTACTTACCAAAATCTGGATGCCAGATATAAAGATTGAAACTTTATCCCACTTCAAATGCACCTAGACATTAATCTGTATGTTGGAGTGAAAACGCATCAGCAGGAATCATCATGCTCACACATAACCTTCATACAACCCCATTCTTCGTGACTAGATGTCCATGTGCTCTCTACTAACTTTATTATTCCATCCTTTAACATCCACCGTATTTTGACACTAGCTACATCTCTAGTACTTCTACCAACAGTTCAATGAGCTTCTACCACTACTTTGAATCAAGAATACTTGCACTAGCGACCTTACATGTGTCTTAAGCTGAATACTTGCTTTCAGAAGTGGCATGATGGAAGTAATACTAGTGCTACATTCAATTACCTTCATTTTGCTAGTTGTGTTAATGATCGTTCCAACAGGGAGCTGAATAGTTGACTGGCAATAGTTATAAACAATAATAGGAGTTACTACCTCTTTGGACACATCACCGTCCAAGCTAATGTTACTTGCATTTCATGAATTGGCTTTAACACTGCGTTCACAGCTCCAAACACACTACACCTCGTGTTTTATTACCAATGAACGCCACTTATGTAAATTGATATATTTTGACTTCATCTACAAAACCCATGTAGTCCACTGTTCCTGGATCTGCTCTGGCTAGCATTGGTTGTTTTCCCATGTACATGCAAGTTACCTGTCGCATAGACGAAACTAACAGATCGTTTTTGCAATACATCCATTCCAGTGTCACTTTCAAGGTCAAAAGTAACTACCTTCATTTTGTGGCTGTCTTCACTTAGATGGAATCAGAGTCTTTCCTCCCCTGGCATGTCTAGTCTATCGCCATTTACTTAGGGTAGTTGATATATGGTGAGATTAGTCAGTGCTCTAACAACTCCTGTATCTCCTACATCCATGCGATGTCTCATTGTCTTAATTGGAAGCTCTTTAATAGACTTATCTTCGAGGACGTCCTCGCAATTTGCTAATGCCATTCAGAATATGCCTTCTCATGCAATCAGTATAAATCATCTGTAATCAAGTTCTCTTAGAGATTCCACTTTCGAACCTTGAATTTAGCCTGATGGAGAGCTTATTTCTCTATCGTGTTGAATTGTTACTTCAACATGGCTACAACTGCAACCCACTTCCAAATTTGTGCCTTGCTAGTACTGAACAGCATCCAAGATTATATTGTCCAACTCAGGGTCAGGTGATGTATCGCCTCTTCCAGAGTTCAGCAATTCCAGGTAAAGACCTCTATGAATGCTTCAGGAAGGTTGCACTCTTAAATTTAAGGAGTGTAATTTATGTAGCTTATATCACATTTACCTGTGTTTTCTGTGTAAACCTCTCACCCACAGCCTCTTGATCAACAACATGCTGAGATTTCCTAAGTGATATAGATGTGGTGGAGTGAACTGAACTTGAACAGGGAATCCGATATTTTCGACAAGTGTTAAGGTCTTGCCTTTTGGTGGCAGCTTATTCGTTATCTCACCTGCCGGTGGAAAACATTCAGTCTCTACTATCCAGTCTGTGACTACAGCCCGAAATGCATTATGTACCTTTGCAGAATTGGCAAAATTCCAATGCCCAGCAGAGAAATTTTCCTAAACCTGACAATTTTCTATGACACTACCTAATTCTTTCTCCTGTTTATAAGTCTTTTGACTCTTGTAAAATACCATTTCCTCAAATTCGAAGCTTCAAATCAATAATACAAGAGATCTAACGAGAACAGGCAAATACAGGAGGCTTAACCATAAAATGATTTACAGAGAAGAATCTGAATTACTTTAGCTTCAACTACGTTTGAAGCACTTAAGCTCATTGAAACAATCTGTATTCATACACAAGCGCTGTCAAAGCTTAAGTCAACTAAATTTAATGACACCTTTACTGGAAAATTAGCAAATCACATAAATTGAAATCAAATCAATCCTATTTTTTAAAACAATTCCACACTGAGAGAACATTGCATTATTTAAAAATAACACTGCCATTCTTCTAAAGGTGCATATGCTACCCACCTGTCTGGTGGTTACTCTCAGTTCAAAGCAACTGATGTTTTATTCCTGGCGCATCACATTAAACAATATTTAATATTTTTATTTAATAATAAATAACGGATTGCGTTCATAAATTGCTGAATATTTCATAGCTCTTAAAAATGCATATTTTTCATGAAGAAATAATAGAAAACATTTACATTTATAACACAATTACATCATTCGGCTTCTCAATTTTTAAATTACGACGATCTTTAACCACACATATTTTTTGGTTGGTTGGTGTAAACCTTAGCAAGGTAAAACTTTCTAGATTGGTTCACAGTTTTTGTGTATTAAATGAATAATAGCACTTATCTGGGATTTCTTATAGTAAGATCCTCTAGCTTCTACCTAGATAATGTTTACTGCCTTGTCCATTACTTTGACATTGTAATTATAACTCTTTTTTTTTTTTTTAACTTCGAGAACAATGTAATATTACCAGAACATTTTTGCAGTCGCTCGAAATATTCGTACTAAACTGATGTAAACACACGGTGTCCCAGAAAAGTAATTATTCGTTATGGCAGAACACATTATTCAAATTGATAAGCAGACATATCAACGATTGTATATATATATATACAAGACTAGCTTTTCTGAAAATTAGCTCAAAAACAGCGACAGAAAAATGTTTCGTAAAAATTATTTTTTAATTAAGTTCGGACTTAAGTTAATTTTCTTCTCAGTAGTAGGTTTATATAGTCTTTTTTTTGTGTGTGTGTGTGTCTGAAATAGCAGAATACGTTATTTCCAGATGCTGCCGAATCCAGTTTTATATATTTATTTCTAGATTGTGCTTGTCTCGCACTTTCAGCCAAAGCTACACTAAGATTAGCTGCGGCGAACATTGTTAATTTATAAACTAGAAGGAAGGAAGGAAGCTTCAGCAGCACTCGTTGCCAATTCATATGCTACTCTAATCTAAAAGTGGGATTTGATTATCACACTTATAACACACTGATGGCAAAGGGACGGCATGCTAACTATGAGACCAATATTCTGTCATTACCATAAATTAATGACGACACATATTATAATAACAACAAAACCATAATTTGTTTTATTGAAATAAATTACTGCAATAATAACACATAACAGAGGCAACTATATCTATTTACAAACAATGATTTGTTGGTGTACATTTTAAAATATCCGGCGAGTACAAGCATTACGATTTCGGTAAAATCCCCAATGTTGACAAATAAGCATTTTTAATATGTGATTGATAATTATAACGCATCTAAAGCACACTCAAAACCAGCACACCCAAGCAAGTGTCGGGGTTTTTGATTTGGTCGGAAACCGATGTTGTTGTTTTTTTCATCAAAGTATTATTTAGTCCCAACCTTGGTACAAGTTGCCAGGATAAGCCAATGGAAGACCTCCCTTAACTACAGGTGCAGTTACAGCAACCTTGGGAGCAACTGGAAGAGCAGCATAAGCAGAAGGAACAGCTACATTTTTCACAACAGGAGCTGGGGCAGCAGCCTGGGAGTTGATTTCAACGTCGGCAGGATTCTGGTTGTCGGTACCAGGCTCGTTTGTTGAAATCCAGGCACGGAAACCTCCTTCATCAGCTACATAGTTGACCTGACGACCGGTGCCCCAGGGGTCTGTGTAGCCATAAGATCCCTGAACTCTGCCGGCACCATCCCCACTCTCCTGACGGCTCTGTCTGGTGCCGTACTCATCGACAGTATCGTAGCCGGTGTCGTATGGAGTAGGGATGTTAATGTCCTGCAATGATTCTTATGGTTATTTCTTATTTCTTGAAACTCTAATCACAGAAAATACAAAAAAAGAAAGTTCTTCGAGTCATTTATTTTAAAACGTACCTTTACTAAGCTAACATGAACGAGGTATCACGTTGCTGATTCTAAGAATATAAAGGTAACTGAGATTTTGGAAAGAAGAGTGCTACGCGTAGTATATTTCAGTCTTTGAAGTACGCGATAGCTTTATTTTAAGTAGTAAATATAAACTTAATGGCTATTTAAGTTCATTTAGAACACTGCTTACGTATGCAGGTGCGGCAACAGGTAGGTAACCGGCAAAAGATCCGGCAACAAGACACAACAAAATCACGGCCTGCAAAATGAAAAAAAAATGCGTATTAATTACAAATTCTATATTATTAATGTCTTTTAAAGTTTTTCAGCTATTAAAATACCGTTTAGAATAGTGTGACTAACAAGAAAACTTCTACCTTCGTCTACAAGTGTGAAAACTAAAATCTTAAAAAGTTTGTTTTTCTTATTACATTTCAAATACAAAACTTTTAAAGGAAAGATGACCATTACTTGGAACACTGGCAATAGCTATCGCATCTTTGATAGTTATGGTTACGACATTACGACAAAACTAAAAACATCTTAAACCGATCAGTTTGAATCTGAAATAATTTTTGTCTGATTGTAAAGTCATTAATGTTACGTTAAAACTTTTTTTTTCTTTTACCTTTACTGGCAAGTCTGGTTTAATTTTTATCCATATACCATACCTTGGACAACATGCTGGACTTAAGTGTAAAATTCCCTCTCCCTGAGTTGAGATATGCTTAAGAATATCGGACTGAAGTTATTTATTGTGGCTAGACGATCGACGTTTATATAGAGAAGAGAAAATGGGTCAACGTGTAGATTAGCCACCCCACCCTGTTTGGCACGCTTTGTTTTAACTTTACACTGAAAGAAAGTGTATTGTACATGATGAAAGTGTTACGTCACACAAATCATGATGAAAGTGTTACGTCACACAAATGACCTATCTTACTGCATGTTTCTAGTGGAATCCATAAAGCTATACCAGACATTAAACCCCTGAGGACTTATGGACAAAACAGGAAAACATAGCGAATGAAAGGTAGTTAAGGGCAAGAAAAAGGCGGGGTTCGGATCTTTTCGGTGAAAGAAGCTTTGCCTGTACTTTAAAACCAAATCTGACCAGCAAACTCCAGTTTCAGAAGGAAACGTAACATAACCTTATCTTCGCCAGAAGCAAGCACTTTCAACCTTACAAGTTAAAATAAACAAACTGGAAATAAGGATTTTCTGCTCCATGCTTTACAGTTATTATTAGCAATAATAATACAATTATTTGTTCGTTATTCAGTATTAGCAACTGTATAAGAGTAATTTGTTTTGTTTGCAGGAAAAGTTTAGATAGAACAAATGATTTTCCTAAATTAATATATTTTCTCCGGTTGGTCAGTGGTAACTTCCAGACTTACAGTGCTAAAACTCGGGATTGGCAGAGAGCAGATAGCCCATTGTATACCTTTGCATTGAAGTGTGAACAACAACAAGTGTGCTAATAGACTATTTGCCTCCCAGTGACACAGTGGTATGTCTGTGGACTTGTACTACTAGAAACTGGGTTTCGATACCCGTGGTGGGCAGAGCACAGATAACCGTTAATAAGAAACAACAACAACTATCCCCATCATTGATATCATTTTATAAGCGATATTCTATAATAAAGTTTGTGAAAATGTTATGATATATGTATAACATCTATAGATGTATATAGGTATCAAAACGTACTCTTCCATAATAATCAGGTATATTTTAACATTTGGTTTATCCTAAAAATCCAGGCTTGACTTCTTTAAACCAATGCTTCATTCTGAGCGTGACGTTTTCCTGATAATCCCCAATTCTCTCCGAGTTTTCATAATATCGTTTGGCCATATGGCCTTGGTAACTTTGGTTGTTGGCCAGACTTTCTCATGAATATAAAGTGTAGTTATTTTATGGCTTTGGCCTAATTGGTTGGAACTAGGAAAGAAGCCTTTCTCCTTCATCTTTGTTTTTAGCCAGTTTGGTTCCGGTTTACGCACAGTGCAAATGATATTTTCAAGCCATCTTTGTTATTAATACTTGAAATAAACGACATTAAAACACCAAAATGTGTTATTTTTCTTTAGTTGGATTCTCAACGTTTCGCTTTACAGCTTCTTCAGGATAGTTCCAATAAAACACAAACCGTAACTAACAGTGCAAAGCTCCAATCAGTGTCCAATTAAAGAAAAATAACAAATATTATTGTTTTAAGGTCGTTTATTTCTAGTATTAAAATGTCTTTCATATATATCAATGTGCACTACAGGAATTATACAGAAAATAAAAAAGTAATTCAGTGTGTGTGTGTCTCAAATCATCGGCTTCTCAAGTAAGCCCATGTGCACTACAGAAATTATACAGAAAATAAAAAAGTAATTCAGTGTGTGTGTGTGTGTCTCAAATCATCGGCTTCTCAAGTAAGCCCATGTGCACTACAGAAATTATACAGAAAATAAAAAAGTAATTCAGTGTGTGTGTATCTCAAATCATCGGCTTCTCAAGTAAACCCCGTGTAAACATATGTTGATTTCTGTTAAGCCATATGTAACTGTGTTGTCCATTTCTGTTAATAATGATATTGTGGCTGTTTCTTAAAGTTCATATCTTCAATCTTTACTGTGACCCATACTAGACCACAAGGCTATTGACAGTAATATATCACCAGTTTCTCAACGATTAACTAAATCATGATCTTCTTCCTAATAAGTAGCTTATCGGCTGACAGTTCTAGAAATAAGAATACTACATAGATTTAAACAATTCGACTGAATATGTACAAAACATAAACTTCATTCCAAGAAAATACAGGTGCACTATAGACGTTATACTGGGGGTTAATATCAATTTATAGAAGCAATGTTTCAGGTTTCGTTCTGTCCCTGGAACTACTTTCTACATCGTCAGTAGTGCATATTATAATTTGTTGAGATTACGCATTACTGCGCAACGACGGCAGTTTGGATTGTAATAAGTTTTTGCTAAAGATGTCTAAGTCAGTTTTAAACTATATATTTCCATAACCCTTTCACTTAAGATGAACATCAGCTTTCGAAACCAAGTTAAGCAGTCTAAAAACATAAAATGTATCATAACTGCCTTTATGGCCTTGACAGGATGTGTTCGAGAAAGTTTGCTGTGATTCCAATTTCTTTGGTAACACAGGCCTGCGATGTTTTATTGTCTTGAAAGTTGTACATTTTCTACAGTAATTCCTGTACGTTGAATTCGAAAATGATATCAACTTTTCTCCATCACGTACAGATTTTTTCCCCAAGCGTTATAACGCAATACATAAAAGAAAGACCACAACACGTAGTTTTGAGACTACAAGACGTAGATTTCACAACAAAATCAGGATGAATGAGGATGCATATTCGTTTGACATCAATGTTCTTTCATTTCCTTCAGTTTTTTGTATTTTTGTTAACAAACATGATAATAGAAAAATGTTCATTGTGGTAAACGAAATAATAATTTGATCTAAATAAGAGTTTTTTTTCTTCCAAATTTGTAAAAAAATCCTTACATGATAGAAAAAAATGAATATTATTTTCGTAATCTGCGTAGTTGAATTATGGAAAATCCGTTACTAAAACCAAAACAACTTTTATGAATTTTAAATTCGCAGGCCTGTATCACCTTTCTCATGAAAGTAATAGTAGATTGTGTACTAAAAATTGTAAACTTTGGGCTACCGAGCCTTTGTAAACTTAAAATCCTGGTTTATTATTATTAAAAGAAAAAGGAAACACGCCTATCCATGGCCTTATGAGTTAGTGGATTCTCTTTTGAAACCATAACCTTTAATAGAGGAAGTTTGGATGTGTTTTTGGATCCTGTTGTTATCTTAAACATTCTTTATGAACATTAAAGGATCCCTTTCTTGAAATGTTATGCTCTTTGGTTCTACATCATTTAAAAACCTCGCTATGTGAATACCGTGCTTCAGAAAGAGGTTATATTCTTCCAGCTATAAGTATATTTGTTGCACCATTGCACTGTAAAAATGGCCCTGAATTTTCCGTAAACCAAATAAAGAAGAGCTATACCTTGTATCTTTGCCAACACGTCATTACATATCATATGCAAGTTATTAGTATAACGTGTGACGATTCTGATAATTCAAAAATCAGAATTATTATGTAATAAACAACAACCAAACACATTTTCTGTATGTTATGAAATTTGTACTTCTTTTTGGTGAAATATAAAATAGTGGAGGAGTATATACGATATATTTTAGTCATGTGTACTCTGACGGTACAAAATACCTCTATTTAGAATAAGTGATTATTAAACTTCAAAAGAACATTTGTTAGCATTTGGGGAAATGTTTTACAAACTGCTGTTATGACATCATCAATATGATCATCATACGGCCCATTTCATATTATTATTATTTAGCGGTCAATTAGGCCTTACAATACTCAACATTCGTAAAAAACAATATATAACTTTAATAAAGTACAGTGATATTTTGATGCATATTCTACTCCATGATATACAAAACGCACAAATAGAAACAATCATGCCTTATGCTAGCCGCACTGTATATTTTTTAGCAATTAAACACAAAAATTGAAATACTGTTTAATAAATTAACAAGGAAACGAATAACGATAGACTTGTGCAATTTTTAAGAAATAAACTTTAGCAATAACTATTCATTATTTAGGAACAACATGTCAGCTCAAACATTCATCAGAAAATCACCAGTCTTCATCAGTATCCTGATCAGTTGATTCCAACGAACGTATATTTGTATAGGTGACTACTTATGTATTCGGAACTATTCAGCGAACCTAAGATAAAAAAATAAATATGATACCCAATTTACCATTCCTTTCACTCCTTGCCATCGAGTTATTCTGGATATGGGGAATTGGGGAACTTCCTCCTTCATCAATAACATTTTACATCAATATTTAATTAGCACCTAGGAAACGGTAAGAAAAATCTTTGTTATATGCTCAATATTCGTTCTCCCGATAATTTTGTTTCTGGTTGTGTTCGACATAGTAAGAAAAGGCGAGGGAGTTTTTCAGAAAATCTGAAAATAGTAACTATAACATAGATCTGAGGATCTATGGTAGTAACCTTTCTTTGAAGCCTATATATAGCTTACTGGCTAGGATTTGATCCCATCATCTTTTGATCCCTACAGAAACGTTTTAATTACCAGACTACCGAGACACCCGAATTTATTCGTTGAGACGGACACCTAGAAACATGAACTTATTTAATTAGCTCGCTCAATTAACGTTTTTAGTTATTCAACAGTATGTTGCTTTTAATCTCTTTTTTAGTATTTAGTTTCTCAAGAATACTCTAAAATGACACTAGAAAAGCAAAAGTAACGTGAACTCCCTATGGTTCTATGTTATCATTCTGACTGTGACAGACGTGTTGACT